AATGGTATTTCGAGATAGTTCCAAGACGTAAAAAACACTCAGTTCCAGTAAATGAAAACATTTGATTAGAATGTAAAATTTTAAAGCTTACTGAGTGATTAGTCACGTGTTTTATATTTTGTATATTTGTATATAATTAAATCTAATTGCAGATCTAAGTGCTTTTATGTGAACAGAGATCATATTTCACACGTGAAAAAGTGTCAGTAGAATCTTTTCATTCCAAACGGTATCACTTAAATAATTATAATAATTTCTTTAGGGTTCCAGCGTCCCTGTCTTTTCAAACCCTAAGTAAAGTGTTCAGTATCATATGTGAAGGCTTCAAAATGAAACTTTAAGTATGCAAAAGTAATTTTAAGCAATCTTGGCTACTAAAAACCTACTATCGCCGAATTTAAGCAGTTACTTTATCAAATCTAAGCACATATAGTGAAGCAAATATTTCTCATATATTTTCAAATGAATTAAACGGGAAGCATTCTCAGTGAAAAGGTCGGTAGCTGTATTAATGGACCAAGGGAATCCTCATGTTCACAGTGCACTGCCCTTCAATTGCACTCGTATGTGAACCACTGAAGGCCTGTTCATGCCTCCAACAACTTGAGAATCTTAATGCTTCTGAGGAATTATAATTAATACTTGGATACACCTGTCATCAGTCAGTAAGACGAGTACTTCATTTATTGCACAGTCATTTCAGGTAATTCAATATTATTGAATAAATTATAAATTATTAAAATTAATCCCAGCGTGTTTAAGAAAAAATATTTAAAAAATTTTTCTGAACGTTTTGCTGTGTAAGCAACAGCTTCTTCAGCAGAATTATTCGGATTTTATTAATCATCAAAATATGTAGTGAAAAAAGTTTTACTTTCAGAAAAATCTTATTCTGATTTTTTCTTAAACACACTGGGATTAATTTAAATAATTTAAAATGAATCGATTTGACTCGGCGCTCAAATTATTCTGGGAAATTCGTAACATCTACTGTCTGGAAACTTATAATCTTATTGAATAAAGCTTTAAATTTCAATGACTGTACTCTAATACAAATTTACGTGGAATCAAATATATATATATATATATATTCTATACGTATACTTTTCTTGAACCCTTTCAAACATCATCCTCCTTGAACAATTGATGTACCTAGCTCCATAAGAGCAGGTCGACTGATATATACACGCAGAAGTCAATACGTGAGAGATTTTTGTCCTTTAGAGCTCTACAAATCGATGGGCGACTGGAGAACACTGTTTATAGCCTAGCTGAAAAAAGTTCTTCACCTCAAAGACGTTGTATTTCCTCTCTTAAAGATATCGCAAGCTGAGTAGCACGCTGTTTGTTATTAGGATGCATGATCATCCCCTCTCTCAGCTAGTTGTTTAGACCAAACTTAGATAATAACTGTTTTACATAATTACTCCTTTTTGTTCTCTTATACTTAAAAAGGTGGACAAAAAGTTTTGATAGTGATCATGACGAACCGGTAGACTATGATCTAGGGGACACGAGTTTGAAGTGAATGGAATATCTGTAGACTTATGTAGTTTCTCTGAATCTGATGTCCGACGAACAGTCAGTCAATACTTGGACAGTTTAAGGAATAGAGCCTCTCACTTCAACAATAAATGATGAGTTTGTATATTTTAAGGAAAACACAGATTTCTTTGGGCTTTTAATCCTATGGTTTGGTTATAAATATAAAAGAGAGAGAAATATAGGTGGGACAAATCCTTTTGATCACTTTTCTACTAAAATGTAACTTTTATTTCCTGATACGAATTTAAAACAAGCAACAAAGGTTAATAAAGCAGGATTTAATGAATTCATCAAATTTCGGTAGACTCGTCATCTGAATACTCTACATTCACGGATGTATATACTTTTGAAATTACATTGGGAGATATAAGACTGATAAGTAAACTACATTGAATTAGTCATACAGAAAGACAGGTGCGAATGTTTCCAGGTCATGTTCAAATAGATAAGGGGAGAGAGAGTATGAGAGATCGAAATTAAGATAAATTGCATTACGCTTCAATTATATCACTTAGATAAACAATTAGTCATTAGGGAATATAACGAGAATTGCAAATAGATAATATCAATAGTAATAGTTATAACAATAATAATAATAATAGCGTTGAAGTGAGTTAAGATAATCCTACTGATAAAGGATAGTTTTAAATGAATCAAGAATAATAATAATGATAATAATAATAAGAGGTAGAATAATAAGAAAAGCGTATTACCATGGTAGATTCAGAGTCACGACCATCTCCTTTTGTAACACAAGAGTTATTTTCTGTCGTGCTGAACAACACTGAACTTCAGATCAGAATTTCGACTGACAATAAATAAACCATATATCTTTTCCAACTCCTTAATCTGAGACTAGTTGTTTGCTTCTTTTCAAAAATGAATCACTTCACACCTATCTGCTCATTTCAAAATGGTCACAGATGAATACTGTAAAGATAAGGCCTCTTTTCAATTGGTTAACTGACACCATTTTACACTGATCTGCTTTAGTGTTCCACAGACAGTAAAAATTGTTAATGAGATTAGAAAATTTACCCTCATTGTTGTTACTGTTGCACCTTCAAAATGGAGTAGATAAACTGTTCACTAGCAGGCGGAATTAAAAAAGAGGCTATTTTCCGATTTAGACCACCGATTGATATCAGTGAGAGATCCATTGAAAACCAAGGAGTACTGGACAGCTGTTTCATCCTAGTTTGGGACTCATCGGCAGCATTCACCCACTGGGGTTTGAACCCATGACCTCTTGGTTACAAGGCAAGTTCGTTTACCTTTCAGCCACTGGGACATGATTTAATGGCCAGTGCATGCATTCTAACTTCTAACAATTCGTGACCACCCACCTGCTATTCTCGCCATCATCACTCATTTCGGTTTCTCTAGTTTCTTGCATACTTTGATATTATGAATAAAATATCATGTATTCAAATGATTATTTTTTTTGTGAATGAGAAGACTAAGAAAAAGTTCACACATAGTGTAGGTACATAATCTGGATTGTGCAATCCACGTCTACCAGAGAAATGGAATTTTCAGAAAAAAACAACCACGCATCTTATGATTCTTCAATGGAAGGAACTGAATTAAATCTGTCCAGTCACAACAGTGTGGTAAGGGAGCTTTGTGTGCTATGCACTAAGGATCTTAGTGATTCACTAGAAACAGAAAGAGTGAATGGTCACACATTTAATAAAAGAATTTCGTTCACTCTCTATAGTAATTTAAGCTTGTTCTTAATTCATCAGGCTTTTACATTTTACCATCGCCATCTTCAAGGTCATCTTGTGTTTCTGTCTGACAAGCAAAACAGTTTTAGTTGGGTGTAGTTATCCTTCTGTTAGGCTTAAAACAGAGACAAGCTTTCCAGATTGATAAAATATCATGTTATCAGCAGAAAGGCTTGATAATAATCATTCATTGTGTTAGTATTTCTCACATCAGAAGCTAATTTCAAAAGTTGAAAACACCGAAATAGAAAAGATCTTCAACAGTTCACCATAAAACCTACAATGCACCGACTGTCTAAGAATAATACTGAAAAATTATTTTGTACCTTTCCATATGTTTGTCGGGAGATATTTCATTCAGTGTTATAGAGTTATCTACACAGAAACAGAACTCTTCCGTATGTTCACTAATTAGACCACTATACCGAATAAACTGTTCAGCTAATGTATGGAAAGGACATTAAATTATCCTTTCACTTATTGACAGGATTGCTAGAACTTTTAAATCTGTCTGAAAGCTTTGAAGGTGAAAAATTCTACATTTAAGCTTTGATTAACTTCACATGAGTCGCTCCACTCTACATTCTGTTCTATTAGCTGTAAATGGATGACTCAACATCACTGTTTTCAATATTCACTATAATTATCCTCAAGTATTGTATAAATTGGCCTCTAAATTGAAAGCAGAGTGCATTTTATAGGCTGTTACCTAGCGACCAAACTAGCTATTTACTGCATTACTAATACACAGCGGTTGGGACACTCGCCGACCTGCACATGGTCCGGGTTTCGATCCCCCGCCCACGCACATCCGATATCTATGGTTGGCCTGCAAAATTTGGACTACCGATATCACATGCTGAAAATTCCATACCTGTACCCAAAAATACGTTGTGGAATCAAGCTGTACTAAGAAAATATTATATATATATATATTAAAGTTTGAGACCAGCACTTTAATGAAGGATAAATGAATGAATTTCATCGTCTGATTTTAATTTAATCAGATTTGATTTACTTCTCGGAATGTGAAATTCAGTCTCATCTTATTAAGCGTGCAATAAACATTGGGTAAAAATCAAGAAAGAAATTCTATCGTTTGACTTTATTGTACACCAAATGAAATAAAGTTGATTTTTCAATACAACAACAGATAGCAACTGAAACCGCAATTTCTGTAAAAGAAAAATAAGACATATAAGCTGGGTGGTGACTCAAGGTCACTCATATCAGGAATGGATAAATGTTGCACTTCTCAGGGTCGCGTTCGTTACAAAAGTCTCAGTGGCGAAAAGTATATGGTTGTTTGGGTCAATAGCGAGGGCGCTGAGACTGCATCCTCATTTATATATGTTGAAGAATTATCTGATCCAGATAAAGCTTAGAGAATATTTTTTAAAAATCATACCTGTTATGATTTAATCCCATTGAGTGCTAAACTAGTGGTTTTTGATGTCACCTTAAATGTGAAAACAGAATCTTTTTGCTCTAGTTTATAATGGTGTATGTGCTACTATTTTATGGGATTCAAATGAACAAAAACATATTGGCATTTTAACAATTACTGATTTTATACGCATCTTACATCAATATTATCGTTCATCAGATCAGTCAATGACTGAGTTAGAAAAACATCAGATTAAAACATGGAGAGATTAATTAACAGAATATCAGCGTTCATTGGTTTACATCACACCTGAAAATACTCTACTAGACGCTGTCCGTATGCTACTCAAGCATAAAGTACATCGTCTACAGGTGATTGATCCTGCCAGTGAGAATCCTTTACATATATTGACGCATAAACGTGTTCTTAAGTATCTACATATTCATATATCTGAGTTACCAACGCCTTCTTTTATGGTGAAAAAGCTACGTGATTTAAATCCTGGTACAATGAAAAATGTTTGCATTGTTCAGCAGAACTGTCCAGTGCATAAGGCGCTACAGCATTTTATTGATCGTGGAGTTTCAGCCCTGCCTCTCGTCGACCAAGACGGACAAGTAGTGGATATCTATGCAAAATTTGACGTCATTAATTCGGCAGCTACGAGGACATATCAAAACCTAGACATTACAGTATATGAAGCTTCAAATTATCGACATGGAAAATTCCAAGGTGTTGCCAGATGCCAAATGGATCATACTTTGGAAATGATTGTGAATAAAATTGTTGATGCTGGGGTACATCGTCTTGTAGTAGTTGCTGAAAATAAAGTATTAGGCATTGTTTCATTATTTGATATTTTACGATTTTTAATCGCTGAACCAACAGTAGTCAACAAGGCGGCGAAATCAGCTTTAATACCGTGAATACAAAGGGAACACTCACCCACACACACAAAAATAAGACAATAATTAATTCAAGATATATATGATAATAAGAGATAAGAAAATGTCTGTATTTGTTGCTATTATATTGAGATGCTTTACAATTAATTTCTAGGATCATATCATCACTTTCAACACAAAAACGATTTCAAACATAGTGAGGTTAGTAGAAGGTGGCCTGCTTGAATCACTGGGCTAAAGAAATTACTTTCTATGAAAATGATTAATTTCATATGGATTTATCATGCTTTCACTCGTTCAGTTATATCAAATGACCTATGCATGAACTTGCACGAGGATCTAACTGGCTTCCAAGTAAACACTGTAAATTCCCCAATGAAATCAAGATATACTACAGATTATTATTTTACATGAAAATCCTGTATGAAGAAAAAAGTATTTTCGTAAGTGAATAAGCTGAAAATGTTTGCACCATATGCTGTTCACATATTGTCTGAAATAAAGCTTTATTATTACATTAAGATGAATATATATCGTTTGTTAAATTTTGCAGTACTGATAACCCATACTGATAAGCCATACTGTCGGTAAATATTCCAGTATTAATCGTTTGCATGAAAGAGGTCCCTAGTAAATCTCTTCAATAAACGGACGACTACTTTCATGTAAATAATTTAAAGTAAAGTGATCATTAGTGTGCAATTCAGTTGTGAAGAGATGTGAAGTCTTATTAAAGTGAGCAATGTAGTAAAGTGAAATTCCATGTTGATTCATACATTTGGCGAAGTACTTTGTGTCACAATAGTGTTAAGAGAACATTTTGGATACAGCTTATTAGTCATAATTATAATTATAGCCAGGGCATCATATCATGGCTACACAATGCAATTTTATGTGTCGGTGGTTCAGTGACAGAGTACTTGACAACTACATATGTGATCTAGGGTTCGATCCTCCGTCAACGCATTCGTAAACCTCTCTTAGTTGGTAATAAGCGTGATAAAGTGGTAAAGTTGGACATGAGGTCAGCAAACCCGTAAAAAATGAACACTACTACTGTGGTTAGAGCTGGCTGCTAGTCAAATTGGTAGACAGTAATTTACATCAATGTTTATGTCCCAAATATTGGTCGTGAGAAAAGAACAAGAACAAAGACTGACTCAACAGCCAATCACAACAGACTTTGCGTAGGCGGATACAGTTTTCAGGTAGACAATCTGACCTTCAAAAAAACGGCCACGAATAGATGAAAGATTAACTTTCAGTGAGAAACAACCAATCAGAAGACTGTGTTTGTTTGCTTACAATATTCTATAATAATGTATATGAAAATCTATTTGTTGATTTCCTAAATAAACGATCTGTTACCTGGCCCTATTCTTCTGTTGTTACACTACTACTGAGGGTTCAGCGTCAAGGCTGATACCCTATGTCATACATGGCAATCAAAAAAGTGACTTTGAGTAATATTATACGTAAAATGTCATATCTTACATAACACTGTATGAGTAGGTTGAATTAGCTAAAGTAGATCACTGTGGCGCAAAATAGGCATTTACATTTAGATTGGTAGCAAGAGCTAAAAACATTAAATTAGAGTTTCATTATCATCCTACATTATAAATTCGTGAGTAATTTGACATTTGGCATAGTTTTCTATAGTATTTCTGAAATAGTGAATGCTTTCTCCTAAACGAATATGCGTTCCCTTAGTAACAGGGGATTTCGGGACATGTGTCGCTTATCAGCTACACTCTGAATGTTTTTAAACTAATAGGCATGTATTTAATGTACAATTGGTGGATGGTGGCTAGCAGTGGAATCCAGGATGCGCATTTCGTCCTATTTGGGACTCGTCAGCTGGATGTACCTGCATTTCTCAGTGAGTGATGATGTTCCCACTGAGGCTCGAACCCAGTACCCATAGTTTCAAACGCCAAAGCGTTATCCACTAGACCACTTGGGCCACGAGAGCCACCTCTTGTGCGACGGGTCATATTAATTATTGAATTGAATTTTTTTGATTTTGGAATCCTGGATTCCACTGCTAGCCACCATCCACCAATTGTATACTAACTAAATGCCCGGACATCGTCGAAGCATCTGCACAAGAAGCCGACATGTCAACCTGAGACCGAGCACTTCGGTCCAATCAATCGACGGGAAAATCAAAAAAATTCAATTCAATGTATTTAGTGTATTAAACATTCGAACAACACAACTGGAGTTTACCATTTTATTGGTATATGGCACTTATTTTGATGAATAAGACATGTGTTCACTTTTTGAAGAGGTTGCACCTTAGACGACTGTTAAACTTATCTCAAAAGTTTTGTATGAAAATGCCTTGACATAGTAGACAACAAAACTGCTCCAAAGCCCACCATCAAGCCTCAGACTAGTTATCCTATGGATATTTACTACATGTGTTCACTTGAATCAGGATTAAGCTGTGTTGAGTCAGCTGACTACTAATTTGCGTAAATGCTGAATAGAAGGTATCACAGTCATGTGCTACACGACTGTGATAGCTTTCGATAAGGTTAAAAGAGAAAAGAAATCACATAACCGTCAACTTATTCTAAGGAATTGGTTGCAGTGAAACACTGCATTAAAATATATTTGAAGGTAAATCATGATAACCACTGAAAACCGCATAGTACTGGATAGCTGCTTCGTCATAGGCTGCAACTCTCCAGCTACATGTATCCACAACTTCATCGGGAATCTAATACAGTGCAGCGAAGTTAAACTGTAGCAGTTACCCCTACCGGCCTTACCATTGAACACGGGCAACTAATCAGAACTAAAGGGCAATGAAAGCGGCAAAACTTTTAAAAATAAAATTATAAATCATAGTGTACTGAGATTTATGTATAATTCTGATTCTGTCCTATAGTCTACCTCAAAATCCCAATCTTCCCGACAAACCAGTTGTTTTGCGTGTATGTATGGTTTTTTTTAAATAACTAGAAGTAATCTATTATTCGCATCGTAGTCAGTCACTCGAAATTCCTGTAATTTGTTAAGCAAATCTATAACAGAAGGTGTAATTTAATTTTGTTATGCTACCTGCAAATCTACTTTACTTCTGAAGGTTGTGTACCAGATTGGCTGCTATGGCTTAACTCTGCCCACAGTATCTTTTTGTAACAAAGTGAACCTGTCGACCATTAAGCCACTGGGACGGAATTCACTGCCCCAAGATTTCTAACTCCTGTCAGTTTGCCGAAAAACTTCATTTAAATGTCTTTTTGGGAGTTACTCAGTCCAGTTAGAATGGGCAACACAAAAACTGTTCTGTCTTGGTGACTGAAATCTAGCAGTGTTAAAGAGAAATGTTTTACAAATTATGCATTTTTGAATTGTTCGATTGTGTAGGTGTTGAAGTTAGAAGTTCGTCAAAGTGGACAGACTTTGCAGCCAAACGGTATCATATATTCACAAGACATCTCTGTCAATCACTGTACTGTTATTAGCTTATTTTTTGCAAGTTATATATGGTTTGCTAGGAGGCAAACAATGTGTAGGCTGGATCAGTAGGCTAGTAATTCGGTGCCAAAAACGTCTCAGTCCAATACAACTATACGACGATTCACAAATCACACAGTTGACGTGATTTTTTTCGAAAATGTAGTCTAATTGATATCTGTTAACTAAAGTTGTTATGGTTGTGACAGTTTTGCTCAGCCTAAGATAAATGTGAAATTTGATTTCCAGGCTAACTTCGTTTATTAGGTAGACGTAACGCGAATATTTAGTAAACTTCACAAAATAACATAGGCGTTGACTCACAGGAAGCAGTCAGAAGATAAGAGAAGACGCAACAGTCTTTAAATTAGTAAAAGTCAAAATATTATCTGAAGAATCACAGGCAAAATAAATGCATGCAACGCTCATCACAAAAACGGTCTCCTGTATGACAGAAGTTTGCTGACCTAAATTACTAGTTAAGTAATTTATTCGAAGGTCGAAAGCAACTAATCTTTAGGGAAATTGCGGTTAAAGTACTGATGATAAAAAAGAAAACTAAAGATTAATGACAAGAACTTATGGAACCTGGAACAATATGATTGTACAGTTAGATGTTAAAAATGGAATAACATTGTGTATAACTTTTGTTTAAAACGATTCATTGTAAAATATACACAACTTGAGAGTACAAGCTAAAATACAGTGTGCCACTCGAGGCTTCGTTCTCTCACTGCTCCATACTGTCCACCCACTTCACTAGCATCCCTGTTTTATCCTTTGAATTTTCCACGAACCTCTCATCCTCATCTGAAGACTACTCTACAACCGATGCACAGCTTCTACTAGTAGACACGACTCCGAAAGTCAATGCTTCTGTAGATTACTTTAATAATTTGTAGCAGCTGACTTTAACTGTATCTTCGAGTAGTTATCAATTTATGAACCTCTTTTACCATACTTTTATAATATTCTATTACAATATTATTTCATTAACTTGGAATATTATTCTGATATTTGTACTCTTACCTAGCTCGCTATTAAGTCCCCTACAACCTCAACATATGACGCATGATGAAATCAGTGTATCTATTCCCACTGATTAGCGATCATTTTCTTGGTCTTAACTGATAAACAACTCAAATCGATGTGTCACCTGGCATTTGGCTGATTTACAGTTAGATTCTGTTATCACCAGGCATCACTTAGAATACCAATGAAAACCATAGTTCCTTAAAAGTAAACTTGAATTTGAATAAAACCACCAAACCAAACGTTTCAGTGTCATGTATCAAAAGTCATAAATATCTGATATTTATTCATTTGAAAGGCAATTTTTCAACGCTTTCAAAGAAATACTAACCATATTTCCCGAATGACTGATATATTCATTCTTGATATTTTCAGTAGATAGACATTTCCATTCGACACAGATTTGTATCGACATAAATTCCATTAAAAATTTTTGTTTTCTTCCATCTATCACAAAGAATATCCCTAAGATGGTAAAGATTTTCCTACATTCATCTTCTCGAAAAAAATACCTAGTA